CTAAATCATGGGAATCAGGTTCATCAGTGATTAAGGTAGGCATTTTGACTTAATATTATTATAATAATATTAAAGAGAATGATAACAGTTTTAAAGAAAAGTAATTTTTAGTTTATGTAATGTTACACTCTTTGTATTACTTTTTGTGGCTAATGTGGCTGTGGCTGTGGCTGGTAGCTGATATGGCTTGTAGTACAATGTAAGGCTTGTGTAATTTCTGCTAAAAATAGAATAAAGTATACACAAGATTGTGTAATTTTAGAATAAATACAAATTTGTAATTATTTGTTTTTGTATTAATTACTTAAGAACTAAAAGAGAAATAGTTATTAAATGATAGTTAGTTGAGTGAACCACTAGAAAATGGTGTTTAAAAATGTGTTTGAGGTCCGAATTTGGAGGAGATAAAGAAAAAAAAACAATTTTTTAGAAAATTTTAAGTAAATTAGCTATTTGGAGTTTTTTGCTTATAAAATGACTAATTTTTAGCTATTTTTAATAAACATATATCAAAATGAAGTCAGAGGTAAGCTGGACAACTTTGTCTTAGAGTACAAGACAAGTTTCCTAGGCTGTATTTGAGTATAAGTAATTTTAAAGTGTTTTAACAAATAGTTATTTAATTTATTTAATATTTAAGTTAGTGATATAAAATTTTGTATATATATATAAAATTAAATAAAAAACAGATTTATTTTATTTAAAAGATATATTTAATTATAAATTGTTAAAAAAAATTAAATTTTCTTTAGCAGAATTTTGGTACAAATGATTATCAGAAAGAGTTGGCAATTTGTGTTACTAATTAAGATTAAAATATCTAAATTAGAAATAAAAACTTACTTAAATATAGTATGAACATCTTAGTTTAAATATAAATTTAGACTAAAATGTTCTTAAAAGGGCAAAAAAATTAACTACAGTTAGAAACAGAACAAAAGAAAACCTGCAACACTGAATAATAGTAGTAAAAACATTAGCTAATAGCTGAAAGAGAATATTTATTCATTTCTGAAATACAGTTTTATCTATACTATAAAAGAAAGTACTTAAGAGGCAAGTTAGATGTACAATATATTAGAAATAATGCTAAGACTAAGAAGAATTACAAACTAGTAATAGTAGCAGAAATCTGGCTTGAGATATATGCTACTAGTATCTGAATTAGAAAGTTAGCAATAATAACAAGGTTCTGGCTTAAAATACATATTAGAGAAGCAAAGCACCCTTTGGGCAAACCAAAAATAAGAATTCAAAAGAAGTAAACAACCTGGTGAACCAATTTGAAAGTTATTAAAAATAGGTTATAAAACATAAGAGGAATATGTAGATTACTTAAAATAATTGATAATAAAACAAAAATTTAGATTAAATGTAAGTAGGATATAATACAAAACTTTTGTAGATTTAGATTGCAAATAAATATATCTAAGTTTTATATCTGAATAGAAATATAGTAATAAATGATATATAATATAGAATTATACTAACTATAACAAATATACTAATAAAGACTAAAGTGTATAACCTTATCTTAATATCAAAAAAAAATTTTTTATATATTTAATTAAAATTTTATAATAATTTATTATAATAAATTAATTATATAAAAGTATAACAAACTAATAAAATAGTTAGGTTATCAACCTTTAAGTAATAGATTAAATATTCAAATATCATTGATAGTAAAAAATTTGTATAATTATCTATATAATACTTATATTATAGCAATTATTACTAATAATTAGGTTAAGATATCTATAATAACAATTGTACTAATATGACTGACAGATTATAAAACATCTGTATAAATATGACATTACATAGAAGAATGCAAATTAATAATCAAACAGTAAGGGTGTGACAACCTAGTAAAGTGGTCAGGTTGTTAGCTTTTCAAATAGTAGGTTATAAGTTCAAAACATACAGACAGCAAAATTTGAACAATTATCTATATAATATTTATATTATAGTAATAGTATTCTGTTGATCAGTTGAAATAGAATATCTGTAACTATAGTTGCATTAGCATGACTGGCAGGTCAAAAGCATCTGTATAACCTTGGTTATACAAAAAGATGCAAACCAGTACCAGGTAATGCAAATCTAAGATAAGTTCTTTTGCTATATAAATCTGTAGAACTGGAGAAACCAGAGCCTACTTGGAAAAACCCAAATAAAGAGGTAATACAGATCTTTGACAGTACTACTATAAAAGCTAAACCTAGAAAACAGATACCAATGTAAAGGAATTAGGTAGCCAAGAACCTCTAGGTAAGAAATACTACCAACCAGGCCATCAGAAATTGGACTAGAGGAAAAGAATATTGGACCAGACTTGATATACCAGAACAGATTACAGTTTCACTAGGCTATCTGAATTGAAAGTCTGATATTCAAAGCAGAGATATATTATAAGTGCTAGAGATATGCTGTGAAGTTGATACTAAGATCTGAGTAAACTTTGCAAGGGCATATCCTGTTAATATTCTATAATTAAAAATGGATATATTAATTAATAGAAAGGCACTCTAGGCCTTACAGTCAGGTGACATATTCTGAAATATGTAACAATCTAATAGATATACAACAAGAGAGGTCATATGTCAAGTTAGATGGCACTAGGTATATGGAAGCCTTGGGTCTATTCGACTAGTATAAGTATAAAAGATCAGAATGTTTAAATAAGTAATCTCCTAGTAGATTATAGAGATGACAACTAGTATAGAACCTTTGCATAAACTACTTAAAATAGATAACCAAAAGTTGTATAAGTAGCTAGTTATATACTCACTTTGTACAAGTTATACAATTAATATATAATTAAAAATACATAATAAAAGTAATAGCTGCTGATAGACATCAGCCTTAGTAAAAGCAAAAATAATAATAATAATAATAATAATCAAATAGTACAAATACTAAATAAATCTTTATATTCATATAAATTCATTGAAATTAGATAACAAAAAATCTATTTAAAAGAATCTAAATAGAAAAATACCTGGATTTTTGATAACTCTATTGTAAAAACTAGTTTTATAAAACAAATACCAAAATTATAGTATCTAAATAGATAAGAACCTTCAAGTTGAAAGTCTTGAAAATATCATTAATTAGATTATTAAAATAAATTAAAAAAAAGAATATTAGACCAATCTGATATACTAATGAACTAGTTATAATCCTATACAAGTTATCTAAATTGAGAGTTTGGTAAAAAAACAGAAATATACTAAAATATTTCAGATATGTTATAAAATAAATGCTAAAGTCTGTGTGAATTCTACAAAAACATAGCAATTTAATAATTAAGTTTAATTACAAGTATTGATTTTGTTATAACAATACTAGATTAATTGTAAAAATAGGTAAAGAAGATTTTAGAAAATTTATTTTAAAGATAAAATAATTCTAAGGTTAAGATAATAATCTGAATATCTGAATATAACTCAGTAATATTAATACAGATTACAAGTTTAAAGAATTTAAAGTAAAACACTTAAACAAAGATGTTAAATACAACAATTAGTAGGAAATCTTTGAGCAAACTTCTTAAATAAATAATATAAAAAGTTACATATATAACCAATTGTACATTTTTCTGTAATGATTTATAGAATTATATTACCAAAAAAATTATTAATAAAAATCAAAAGACCAAAGAGATCACCTTGACACTAAAAAAAAATAAATTAATCATATTATATAATTTTTAAAACTTTTTGAGTAATAATAAAAATATTAAGTAGTTTGACTACTTTAGTTTTACAATACAATTTATATATAACTAATCTAATTAAACTAACTGATTATATATAAATTATATTATAAAATTAAAGTAATCAGACTACTGAACATTTCTAGATGACAATTTTACTTTAGTTGATTATTATCATTATAGTATTAAAAAATCAACTTAAAAATCAAAAATAAATATTGAGCTTTATATATAATTTACAATTTATACCTTTTATCTTTAAAGAAATTTTTTTAAATTACTACATTACAAAACAGGTTTTTTTACAAATATCTCGTGATATACTAGTTCATTTTTCAAAAATTCTACAGACAGCTTAGGACAAAATAAATTATGTGAATAGTTAGTTATTGATTAATAGAGAGTCTATAGACATGTACCAATCACATAGTATTTTGCTTTATGAACATGTACTGATTACATGATATTAATTTATTATATAATTATTTTACAAAATAACAAACTCAAACAAAAATGCATTTTTCATAATAAATTATCAAAAACTTCATTTTAATTATTTATATCAATCAATCCAAACTGTATACAATAAGATACATTGACACAATTATTGAAAATGATTTATTGTTAGATGATAAGATGATTCAAGACCTGTTAGATCTTTTTTGACAAGATAATTTTAACATCATTAGTCAGGATTTATGATGATAGCTGTAAGTCAAAAATCTGAAATAAGCAATACAAATTTTAGATAATTTTTAAATATAAAATTAAAATATCAAATTTTATACTAAATGATGATGTTGCAACCAATATCAGCATAAAATTTGTAATGAATTTTTTTAAAATTTTATACTTGGCAATGCTAATATTGATTAATTTGTCTTTTTTTATATGTAGTGAATATTAAAAGACACATAGGCTACTTTGAAAACAAGCCAATATACCGTGCTATGGATCAGTTTATAGACCGATCTTTAGGACGAAGAATAGACTAAGTCATCCTATAATAAGTTATTTCAATTGCTGTGTCAATGTGTCTAATTGTGTGCAACTTGGATTAATTTATCAGTTAATTAAAGTGAAGTCTTCGATAATTGACTTTTATTTGAGTTTGCCACTTCGTAAAAAATAGTTATGTAATAAATTAATATCACGTGATCGGTACTTGTCCATAATGCGAAATATCACGTGATTGGTACGTGTCCGTAGACTCTCCGATTGATTAGGGTAAGAGGAATTTTAATAATATCACGTGAGTTTATTATGTCCAGTTTTGTTCCTAAGCTTTATCCGTAGAATTTCCGCTCACTTTTGATGGTGTCATTAGATTCACCTCAGCGAGAGAAATCGAATGGTATCAAAATCGTCAAAATCTGATCAGTAGATCACGAGATATTCGTATAAAACTGTTCGCAATACAGTAATTTAAAGAAATTTCTTTAAATAACTGTTTTTTTTTACGAAAAATCTCGTGATCTATGATTCGATTTTGACAATTTTGGTATCATTCGATTTCTCTCACTGAGGCGAATCTAATGACATCAAAATAATTAAATTGGACGAGATATTCGTAACAAACTGTTTGCGGCGCAGTAATTTAAAGCGTTGCAAATAGTTTGTTGCGAACATCTCGCGACTACTGATCCGATTTTGACGATTTTGGTACCATTCGATTCGTCTACTGAGACGAATTTAATGATATCACGATTATCAAATTTGGATTATTAGATAACAATATAGAAAAAAAACCATGTTATATTTTTTGACCCTTCTTTATCTTATTAAAAAAATTGGTATATGTTCAAAGATCTCCTATATAAGAGTGTCGCTAAGGGAAAACCAGCAATTCTAAAAATAGATTTATTATGAAATTCATAATAAAACTATTTTTATAATTGCTGGTTTCCCTTAGCGACACTCATAACGTCATTTATGAACGCAACCTATTTTGATGATTTTTTAAAAAATTTTTGAGGTATTTTTTTTCTTGCCTTTTTTTATGATTGAATTAGTGTTTAGGGTTAGAATTGATAATTAAAGAGTATATGTGGATTTTAGCAGCGCTTATACTGTATTTTCAAATCATGACCTTAAAATTTCAGCACCAGTCGCGACATTTATTATTATATTAAAACAATATTTATTAACCATCTTTTTATAGATTTTTTTTTTTGGCACGATGCCGTGGGACACCCACCATTGGCATAAAATCTTTTATAGAATTTAAAATAAAAGAAATTAAAGACGAAATAAAATCAAAATTTCTTAATAATGACAAATTCAAAAATTTCACTATAAAAAACCCTATTCTAATATTCTATACTACACTGGCAATCATAAATAATACAACACGTGACAATTTTTATAATAAAACATAGTAACTATTGAAATTTTCGCTCTATAATAAAATTTTTAGAAAAAATTTTTAAAAATAATGTTTTTACATCGGAATAAATTTCATCAATTGTAGTTTCTAAAAAATATTTTTTCGGATTTTTTAAAAACTACAATTGATGAAATTTATTCCGATGTAAAAAAATTGGGTTTAAAAATTTTATTATAGAGTGAAAATTTCAATAGTTACTATGTTTTATTATAAAAATTATCACGTGTTGCATTATTTATGATTGCCAATGTATATTCATAACTAGACCAATATTATACACTGATTGATCATACGAAACTTTGTTGTTTTACTTTAATCACCCCCAGGTTGTCCCTATATTCGGATTTTTGCCGACCGTCGTTTAGACCTCCCTCCTCATGATTTTTATCCAATTAGGTCGAAAGATCAGGTGTAATGAAGTCTTTAGGATTAGGATTAAGTCACGTTAGGGTGGAAATTTTTTGATTAATTTTTTGCGAGGCGTTAGTAAGGATGATCGGCAAAAAATCTGAATATAGGGTATTCCAATTTATTGAAATCTAAATAGTGTCACCCGCCCAACCAGTCGATACCTAGCCGGTTCCAATCACACATTACCCTAGTCTAATGACCTAACCAATGACACACTAATCTAAACAGTACGATGCTGGTCTGTTTGGTTCAAGTTTATCATATGTACATATCATGAGTTTATTAACTGAATTTGATTGTGATTATCGTGCTTAATTTCTATTTGAGGTTAAATAAAGCGTTTTGATAAATCTGTTAAAAATAATGGGTTTTTTTTGACACATTTGAAAATTCTAAAAATGGGTTTCGCCATATGAAAATTTTGATATATAATGATTCAAGCAAAAAAAAACGTTTTTTTGATAAAAAAAAAATCCCGAAAATGTTCTCAACAAAAAGGAGTGTTATTGATACTAAGGCGATACAAATAAAATAAACTGGTTTACATAACATTTAAAAAAATTTTTTGGTAATAGTCTAACTATATAGAATAACTTTCTCGTAATTGGGTCGCTATATGAAATTGAATAACACGTTATTATCGGCTAATTGTGAAACATGTAACAATCAACCAATCAAATTATATAATATTCGTAAACTTAATTATTCTCTATTCATCTGAACTTTTCATGATCTCATTCTTATCAATAAAGTATACGTACTGATCAGCACCCATACATTGCTTAGCAAACTCAATATAGCAATTCGGAGTTTCAGGTGCAAATTCAGGTTGCAATCCACAGCACATATTCATCAATTGTGAACTTTAACCTAATAGAACCTCTAGTGTCACATAAGAAATAATGTCATAAATACTGTCTTAAAAATTATATTCATTTGCATTTTTGGACAATTCTAGATTATCATGAATCCAATATAAGTCTGATAAATATCTTTAAGTAGATTAATTTAGTTTTTCAGGTAAGATCACTAAAATTTTTTCTTATTATCTGCGTATTGAAATACCATCAAGCATTCATTTTTGCTGTTTTGGGTTAATTCATATATTTTAAGTTTACTACCAAATAAGTCACATGTTATATGATTCTCAAACTTTATAATTAAGTAAATAAATAAAAATAATTAAATAAATTGGTTCATTATTTATTTAATAAATTATTGATAAGTAGATTTAACTTACTTCTTTTAAAGAACTAGACAAGATTTTGAGTGCAACGATGCTGGATGCTTCACGTGATCTTTATTTCCTTCAATTTTTCGTATACCATCCAACCAGGTTGCTGAATATACAGAGCCAAATTCTTCTTTACCAATTTCCTTAATATCAGATAATTTATCAAATAGAATCTATTCGATTGCATCATTGTATGCTAAGGTTCTAAGTTGGAACTTTTTAATGCAATCGCCTATATACTTATTTCTACTTGTCCACCCTGTTGTTTCTATGTCAGGGTCGCATGATAAACACCATGCTTCATTCGTGTTATTTTCATTATACTGTGCACATTTTCCATGTTTAGAGGTGCTTCATAATCAAATATATAATATATTGATTTTATTATTTCATCTGTCGTGCTATTTTAACCTTATTTCGAATGTAAATGAGGTTTTACTCACCGACTAAATTGATGCGAATGAAATGATTTAAAGGGTATTAAATAATAGTAATGGTAAATAAGTATTTATGCTCGCCCACTAAATTAATGATTAATGCGAATGAAATGATTTGAAGGATATTACATAATAGTGGTAAATAAGTATTTATGTTCTTGATTTGTGAACTTGCTTTGCTGTTTTTAATTTCAATGACTAATAAATGTCCTTTATACTCATGAACTGAATGAATGATTAATATGAATGAAATGATTTGAAAAATATTAGATAATGGTAAATAAGTATTTATGTTCTTGATTTATGAACTTGCTTTGCTGTTTTTAATTCTAATGAGTAATAAATGTTTTTTATACTCACTGACTAAATTAATGCGAATGAAATTATTTGAAGAGTATACCAATAATGAATGTAATGAGTACTGGAAGCAAATGTAATGAGTACCAGGAGCAAATATAATGAGTACCAGGAACAAATGTAATGAGTGTATGGATTATATGCTATTTGAAGTGGGATTTGTCTGCAAAATCTTAAGTTTGATTGATCCGCGTGATTTATTCATCAAATTTGGGTTATTTTTCACACATGAATTCATGCATTCGGATATGTAATTACAGAGTATAATTTGAATACAAAAAAATGCAAAGGTAAGCGATATCGTAGTTGCGATAACTAACGATAGTAAAAACAAAAATTTTATACTCAAAAATTGGTAACCCAATACAGGTTAACTTGTCTATTTACCTGGTCATCAAAGGCAATAGCAAAATAATCTTTCGGATAACCTGATAACCTGATAATTTATTATATGATGTCTTGTAAACTTCTGTTTGATTGTCTAATACGAGTCAACTGCCTAGTAGTGAATATCAAATGCTTCACAATATATTAATGAGATACTAGATCAGTTCTCGTTTGTACGTTACTTAGACTATTTGTTGACTACTATATCTGCTTTCGTTTCTGGTTTCTAGCGCGACTGCGACCTTATATAATAAATGCCTACTAATCATGTAAAATCTGAGTTTCTTAATTTGTCATCATGCACCGCAACTCTCTTACATAGTTAACTCAGCATGATCTCCCATTCGATGGTGACACTACTTTCGTTAAAGTCTAATTTTACCAATTTTACGTGTTATGAAATAATGCAATTTGATTGGCTATCTACTTGCTGCGGCATAAAAAATTTTGAATTTTTTTATTTTCGGACCCGGCAGGATATGAAAACCAGTTAATTTATTTTGTATTGCCTAATACCAAAATTTTCAAAAAGAAAATGTCTATCGTCAACACTATGCTATCGTCGTAGTTGAGTTGTTGAGGAATCTTGGATCTGAAGTTGACTATATAGAGGGATTTTTCTTATTGAGTGTTTGTCTAATAAATGTGTATTTGAAAGAATGTTCACATTGGTTCAAACGAATTGAAAGCGCACCGTGTCCAACTGTTTTGACAGTTGACCGTTCTTCTTTTGGTTTCCAATGTTCCCGCAATCGGTTCCACCCTGGGGAATTAATGACAAATTAGAATACATACTTGGTTTATGATTATATACTCATATTATTGTTTATATATTGGTAAAAATGACGAAGAGGTGGATGTTCACGCGCGTTCTCGCGACATAGTTTCTGTTTTTCAATGCAAAAATTGGAAGAATCCAATAGGCAGTATAATATAGGTATTAAAAGGTTATAAACATTTTATAGCAATACTAAAAGATATTGATTATTAGATTCCTTCGTTGTCAGAGAGATAGATGGGGCCGAAAATAGCGGAGCTATCGGGGTTGTGGTGATCCCGGCGATTCACGATTCGGCATCACAACTATTGAAAGTAGAGATGGGAAGTTTAGTAACATATTACATACCTATTATTTCTGATTATTTCTTTTTAGATTGCGTAGTAAGTAATAATAAATAAATAATTATGAGAATAAGGATCGGTCTTTTTAACCAGTCTTATGGCTAACTGGTCATGAATAATTCAACTAATTTTTATTTTCAGATTATCCACGTTATATAATTTTATTTTCTCCACTAGCCAATAAGATTAAATAATAATTAAGGACCATTATTGGGACCGAGACTGGACTTCATAGGCAGATGTTAATTCTCATCCGTTTAAAAAAATTAGCTTTGTAATAAGTTAATTTTATCAGATTTTGAAGATTTTGAGAAGTTATCACTATACTAACTTTTTTAAACAGACGAGAATTAGATCTTATTTTTGGCTATGGAGTGCTATAGCTCTATTGAAACCTTATATATATAATTTTTTTTTATTTCATTATGAGTAAAATTAAATTGAATTTATTAGCCAATCAGACAAACTTCTGTCTATGAGACTGGACTGAAAACCTTAATAGATTGACGGACTGAACTAGACTTGTGCATCCCTGCTGATCAGCGGAGTAAAAAATAAGTAACTATTACTTTCATTATTACCTTGTCTGTCTCTAATTAAAAAGGCTTCCAAAAATATGGGGGGTCAAGCAAATTGTTTTTAAGTAAATTTTTTTTAAACTTTAAAGTAAAATATCTCAATAATTATTAAACCAAACTTGATAAAAGATAAAGTTACCAAGTTTAGTTTAATAGTTGTTGAGATATTTTACTTTAAATTTTTAAAAAACTTGGTTTCTACTGACACCCCTTCATATATTCTTAATACAGTTTTTGATCACTTACAAGAGAACCATTTCAATTTCGGTTCTTAGATTAACAAATTTTTAATACATAATAATAAATAAATTTATATAGTTAATAATATCGTATTTGATTTATCGATAATACAGTACAGTACTAGCTTTGTAAATAACGAAGTTTTCTAAACCAAAATTGGTCAATTAACATATATACACATTTTTATCTTGTATTTTTTTATAGGATGGTTGGCAAGCTATCGAGGCGAGCTAAAAAAAACTTGCCTCGCCAGCAAATTTTTATATAAATAAAGCTTAATGTTAAGATTTATTATTTTAATCCAAAGTTTGTTGTATTTAAGTTATAATGAACAAAAATTACGAATCTAAATTTATATTTAGGTTGAAAAGAGCACTGGTTTATTTGACAGTTTTTCTTAATAATTACATGTATAAAGAAATAAATAAAAGTTTTAACTAACAAAAGACAAACTCATATTTTAATAAAAAAAGGTTCATATTATGTAGTTTTTTAATTAATATCTTATTACATGAGGTCAAGAACATAGAACACACGTATATAATCTTGTCAATGTTAACTTTGAACATGACATCACAACGGCAGGGTCTAAAGAATAACAAGAGAAATTCAAATCATTTGAATATTTGAAACTTTTCTTTATAGAAAGTATATGAGTAAGGATAAGATGTCTATCTGATTTGATAAATCGATGAAAGTTTTGCTAATAACAGAACTAACGGTGTTTCTAACATTTTTACTGCTTTTCACATCTGTCACTAATCATTATAACCTTAAACTTTATTACTATCAGTAATTTTAAACTGCTTCAAGTACATCGAAAAGCATAATAATAATAATACTTAAAACAGTGAGTGGTGTTAATTTTTTCTATGATTCAGGATTTTGAACATACTCCAAAGGCTTTCCTAAACAAGACATTTCTAGAACAGGCATGTCTTAGATGGGACCTATACATGTTGTAGAAACTATTTCGAAAGTATATTGGATATAATTTCAGAGTTATTTCTGAAATAACTCACATTTCATATCAAAAATCAATGCTGAAATACTTTCGAAATAGTTTATATGACATGTATAGTAGTACCTATGCAATGATTTGCTAATCAAACTAGAAATGAGTGCTGCCAAGGGACAAGGGCACATCGGGGGTTTTTTAAGTATATTATTGACTATTAGTCTGATTCACCCGACACACATCAGGATTTCAATTGCTGTTATACCATGTCGATATAATTAAAGCACGATATATCATTTTGGCAGCACTTAAGTGAAGGTATGTTTATCATTATATCCTGCTCAGACGTTCCGACCTACATTACATAATGCCTACACGACTTGCTCCGGAGAATCGCCATGGTAAAATCTTATTACTGTAAAAACATTTCTGTTAATTTTCATGCGTATAATTCAATAGTATTCCTGTTTATCAATTTTCGATTTACTAGATTTACTCGAACAATCATTGCATCAACACATACACAAAAAAAAAAAAATAAAGTCATTCTTTTAATAGTCGTGGCATCATTTCCAGATATTTATATATATAATAAACTATTAATACTTTCAAACATTTTGCTTGTTACCCATCTGCCCCCAAAAAACTCCAAAAACTCCAAAATTTCTGCGTCGAAATGATACGCCACAAGAATGATCTCGGTGATGAAGCAAATACTACAAGTTGTCAAAAATAAACTCTAAAAAACTATTTACTAAACCGTAAAATATGCAATGTGACATTTTCAATTATGCATTCCTACTACCGAAAGGTACCCATCCGGAAATCGCTAATTTTAAGAAAATTGTTAATATCAAACCTAAAATTTAATAATAGAATATGATAAGTATAACGGGAATTTACCATTTTTAATATTATACCATATACCCTTAGGTTCTGGTGCCGATTGTTGATTTGGTGTCTCTAAATCATTATTTTCATTCTCTAAATCATTATTTTCATTAAATGATTCAACTTCTTCCGCCAAGAATAAAGGTATTTCTTGTCCATCTGATTCTTGGTCGACTAGTTGAACTATTTCCATTGGACATTCATTAACTGCTCTTTCTTCAATCACCATTAAATTCTGTCCGTCTTCAAATTCTTGTTTAATATAAACTTTTTCTCGTTTAATGCTTCCCTTTTCACTATCATTTGAGGTTACCGTTCTTTCTTTTCTATTAGCTTGGCGTGCAGATCGCCTAATTGTTGCATTCTTTATACCGATTTTTCTTGGTTTATATGGTCCCCTTTTATGCGATACAATTGATGTTACTTGATTTTGAGGTTTAGTCACTTCAGGTTCGGTTGATTTTGTTATTACGGGGTTTTCACGTTCTATTGGTTTTCCTGATTTTCGACGTTTAGGTTGCGATGATTGTCGAGTGACTTGAGGTAATAAATCATGTGGCAAATTCCACTCAGATTGTGATTGTTGTCTTGTACGTCGTTTAGGCAACATGTTTAAATATGCGTATGTTTCTCGGTTTGATCTTCTGGGTCGTTTGGTTTTTTTCGGTAATGCCATTTTTTCTTTTTCGTCATTAACCACTACGTCATCGTTTGGCTCTTGTTTAATCTGAATATTCGGTTCATTATTAAGATCATCATGTATGATTTTTGGTTTGACGGATGAAATTTTTTCAAGTGATATTACTTGTTCTACCGTTATTACTTTTTCAGATACTGATTTATGATTAGATGATGCAATTTGCTCCGGAGGAGATGGTTGTCCAGTTGAAAATACATCAATTTCCGATGCTTCTTGATATTTTGATGCTTTTACATGCATTCTTTCATGTCCCTTTGATTTTACATGTGATCCTCCATAATGTTTTAATTTTGCAGATGATTCTTCACGATGTTTTAATTTTGCAGATGATTCTTCACGATGTTTTAATTTTGCAAATGATTCTTCATGATGCTTTAATTTTGCAAATGATTCTTCATGATGCTTTAATTTTGTAAGTGATTCTCCATGATGCTTTAATTTTGTAAGTGATTCTCCATGATGTTTTGATTTTAAAAGTGGTTCTTCATGATCTTTTGATTTTATGGATAAATCTTTATGGTCTTTTGATTTTATGGATAAATCTTTATGATCTTTTAATTTTACAAATGAATCTTCAAGATCTTTTGATTTTACAAATGAATCTTCAAGATCTTTTGATTTTACAAATGAATCTTCAAGATCTTTTGATTTTACAAATGAATCTTCATGATCTTTTGATTTTATAAATGAATCTTCATGATCTTTTGATTTTATAAATGAATCTTCATGATCTTTTGAATAAAATTTCATAGATGGATCAACTTTTATATTTGGCTTATCACGCCAAAGAGATTCGATGTAAGCCTCGTGAAATTCAGGTGTAAGAGTACTTTCATCAAATTTGGTCGTACTAAACGGTAATAGCTTATTAGCAAACCAATGAGTCGCCATTGATAATTCAATATTATCACGTCGAGCTAAAATCGCACATCGAACCCATCCTTTGGCATCATTCAAATCGGGAAATTCAAAAGTATCCAAATCATGAGTTTTTCCGAATGGTCTTGCAAATAGAGCATCAAAGCGAAAACGTTTCTCTTTACGGATGAATTTCATATTTCCCATTATTACTACAATAGAATTAGGATTATCTATACATTCGGTCATCATGGTCACACCTTTAGTAATGTAAATGCGAAGATAATCTCTTGTAGTAGATGATATATTGAGCTTAGGAGTTGATGGTTTAGTCCCATCTTTAAAGTATTCCAGCACCCCATGATTGAAATTAAGAAGTCGATCAAGTACTTCAGATGGAATTGATTTTTTTATTGCTTGTGGATTAGTTTGCATCCTTTTGTAATTCATTGTTGGAACAACATATATTGACCTAACAAAGAAATATGTAATATATATATATATTATTATTACGTGAATGAAAGATTTTAAATCAATTTTAATAAAATAATGGAAATTACTTTGAACTTTTGAGATTCTCAAATGAAAAAGTGGGTATAGTAAAAATTTCTTCGTGAGGTAAAGGCATCAGCTCATTCATGCGTAATGAATCATCACCAAAGACCAACTTACTGGAATTAAAATTATTAAGTGAATATCAATTATATTAATGAATAATAATAATAATAATAATAATAATAATAATAATATACATACGTTAATTGAGGATATAATTGTTTTACAAAGTAATCGCACATTTGTCTTGCCTCTTCATAAATTTCACCTTCATTATGAAAAGTAAAAGCATTCGACAGGATTTGTGCAACGTCGGTGTACAAATTTTTAAGATCCTTATATTTTCCAGCCCATAATCTTTTCTCGGCTGTAGTTAAATCCATTAAGCGTGAAATAACACTACGATATAATAAAGCATCTTCAGATACAGGATTAACGAAAGGTCTTGAAAAAGACTTCGTTAGCAATGTATCAAACATCCAAGTTCCAGCTCTTAGTAGTTCTTCACGAGACAAACGTCTCGGATCGGATGGAAGACGATTTACAAATTCAAATAACAAAATGACAGGTGAAGATTCTATGGGTGGATCCGCAAAGTTTGATGTAGAACTACGAATACGCTTTGTACCACGTCTTAAATTTGCGTCAGCTGTCGGAGAAGTAGGTGATAACTCGTCGGGAGTCAGGGGAATATTATTAGAAACCTTTTGCTGCTGTTCGAAAGAAAGTTTACGTTTAATCTTTAAGGTATCATCAGATAAACCGTTTTTACGTTTTGTAAACGTTAATACTGGCGTTGAAGTGATTGTATTAGCATTGGTAGTAATGGTTAACGGTTTTGGTTTTGAAGTGGTTTGATCTTCTTGCTCAAGTTTAACAGCTAAGATAGTCTTTTTTTGTTTATCGTTTCCTAAAACTTTGGAAGTGTCTTTTTCTTTTCCGTTTTTTTGAACGGTTTCTTTAAGATTCTTAATTTCATCGCCTTTAACTTCTTTCTCTTCATGATCTTTTTTTACAGGTTTGTCACTAACACTATTTTTGACTAAAGTTTCTTGGATATTGGGTTTAGCCAAACCTGGTCTACTACCTACGGTATTGGTCTTTCTAACACCTTTGGTCTTTGTCATTATTAGTTTATAAAAAAAAAAAAAAAGAAAACAAAAACAAATCTTTTTTCTTTCCGTTTAGCGAATTTTACAATATATTTGACGTAGACCTTTGAATCATTTGTAGCATCTAAATTCTGGTAAGATGTTTCACCAACATTATTCAAAAAAATTTATCGTTATGAATTCCTTGATAATTGTGCTACCAATGGATATCTCGAAAAAGCAATTCTATGCGCAAAAGAGCTTATGATAAATTATCTGAATCAAGGTATATATTTTACAATGCATTTATGCTGTAATAGTTAAATCAATTTCTCAGTTAATTCCGAACGTAAAAAAAGTCAAGTTCCTTGAATTTCTACAAGATGAGCTACCAACTCGTTTATTAAAGATGTATGTTATTATTTTTATTTTTTATTTTCCTTATTAAAAGATGTATGCTATTATTACGTATTATTTTATTTTTCTTAATAACAAATAACAACAAATATCATTGCCTTCATCTAATCAACCAATGTATATGATTATAATATACAATGCGGCATTAAATTTCATTTTCATATCGTTATCAAAGAATATAAATAGCATATGTACAATCAATATATATCAATATTATATCGTATTATATCGATATCGATATTTTAAAAATTGGACGTTATTGATTACTTTACTATTATACGTATTATGATCAATACTGCATTTGTATCTTTCGACGAAAATATATATATATATAAGCTTATATTAATTTTGATCTTGCATTAAAATAAAGATTGATTTTACAATATTTAGTGTAAAATATATTCTTTATATAATATTATAGCTAATAGGCAACTTTTTCCATTATATGCTCACTCATTAAACAATGAGGTGACTAATTTTTATTGATTCCCAATCTTTACGTACGTACCGTAAAACTGCTGTATACAAGATCCTTCCAGATATCAGATCCACTAGTACAGGTACTTTATTATACCCGGGTCTATAACATAGGATAAAATTTTAATAAACTGTCAAAGACTCGGATATACAAATAAGAATAAATATTAAAAGACCTGGGTGTGCAAATAGGAATAAATATTAAAAAGGTCCAGTATGATATAGCATTTAAAGATACCTGACGAATATTTGTGTTTTGTCACGTTGTTTGCGCAATATTTAGATGATTCTTAATATATATATATTTACTTATCATTATATGTGATATATTATGTTACTTTACAATTTCTTAATGCATTTCTTTATTATGTTCTAATGTCTAAATAACCTGATTCGATTTCTAATAATATATTTAACTTCACAAGTAAATTATACAATTCTATTAAGTGGTGAGTTACTTTATGGTTATTTAGAATTTTAAATTTATTTCATTGTGCAATAAATTGCAGTAATAAAACATAAGGTTCTATAAACGAATTACATATAACCAATATATCAAGGATCATAACTTATATTTTCTTGCAAGAATTGCTTGTAACTAGTGCTCCTATCGAACTGGACCGGACCAAACTTTTGTTAAATTTGAGTCTGGTTTGATTTACAAATCAGACTCAAACTTTAATGTTTTAAACTTTTAATCACGTTTGAGTTTGATCCGAATTCAGTTTGAAGTTTGCGAACTAGTTGAGTTTAAATATATACAGGTAATAAAAAAAATACTATAGAATACTATGATTCTTAAAATTTTATTAATTGATTCTAACTTTATACTCTAAGTAAACTTGTTTAATATATAAAAAATACAGTATTATATTAATATATTTAATTGAATTTTTAAGAAAAATAGTTAATTTTCAATTTTTATTTTAAATAATTTTTTTAAAAATTTAAAAGAGAAAATCTAAATCGTGCCTATAGTAAAATTATGTATATAATAGAAATTAGAATAGATTAAGTTAGATTAAAATAAAATTAAAATTGGCATATAGTAAAAGTGTGAGAAGAATATTTTTCTTAGTTACATAACAGGGATTATCTTAATAAAATTTTAAGATATTATAAAAAGTTTAAAAATAATATTAGGATTAAATTACAAGCAGAATTAGTATTTTTTTTTGTTAATATGATTTTTTTGGTCTTTTAACTTTTATTAACAACTTATTTAATAATGTGATTTTATAAACCATTACAAGAAGAGTGTATAATTAGCTATACATATAATTTTTTTATATTACTTATTTAAGAGTAGGGGTATATAGATTATTTTTTATATAGTTTTATATGTTTTTTAGAATTTTCATATAAAATCAACAGATGCAACTAATAAAACTTTTTTAATTTTTATTAAAATTTTACAAAATATAAATATAATAATTTATTTATTATGATAAAATTTTGAACTATTATTATATTTAAAAAATATATACTTGTATATATTATAAAAGTTTTTTTGGATTAGCTTAAAATTTTCTAAAATAACATAAGATTGCTAAATTAGCTAAATTTAATTGGTTAATTTATATAACCCTATAAGTTAATTTAATTAATAATTTTTATACCTAATTTTTAAAAAGTTATACCTTACTAAGTTTTTAATCAAATTTAATAATTTTACTATTATTAAAATCAGAAAGACATGTTCTACAAATTTTTTTTATAAATTAATATTAGTTTATTCAATATGATGTTTTATAAAATTAAATATAAAAAAAAATTACAATTAAGTTTATATATAATTTTAATATAATACCTTTTATTCTTAAGAAGTCTGTTCAAAAGTTCTTACTAATTGTTATATTTAATATTTCTGTTTGAGTGTTCTATTTTAAATCTTTTGAACCTGCATCTGTATTAACATTACTGGATTTTGACTAAATTATCATCTTAATCTTAAGACTATTTTATCCTTGAGATAAATTTTCTAAAACCTTATATACCTATTTTTATAGCTAATCTAATATTACTATATTAAAACTAATACTTATAATTAGAGTTAATTATTAAACTATTGTGCTCTTATAAAGTTCATTCAGACTTTAGCATCTACTTTATAGTATATACAAGATACTTTAATATACTTCTATCTGTTTTTCAAACTTCTAATCCAAATAGGTATATAAAATTACAATCAGTCTATTAGTATCAGATTAGTCTAATATTCTTTTTTTTTAGTCTGTCCTAATGATCTAATTGGTGGTATCTTTAAAACTTTTAATTTAGAGGTTTTTTAACTATTAGGTACTTTAATATTAGTAACTATCTTATAAGACTAGCTTTTATAATAACATCATTAAAGATATACATTACTTCTTTACTCAGATCTTTTCTAAATAAACTTTTTATTTTTTAATTTTAACAGATTTATATAATTATAAGAACTTATCTAGAGTTTGTATTACTTAATACTAGTTTGCATTTCTTTATATAATATCATACTTATACAAATGACTTATAATCTGTCAGTTATGCTAGTGTAACTGCTATTACAGGTATCTTAACCCAATAGTTGAAAACAGTTACTATAATACATGTATTATATAAGTAATTATTCAAATTTTTATTATTAATAGGATTTGAACACCTAATCTACCACTTGAAGAGTTAACAACTTATCTATTTTACTAAGTCATCATATCTCACAGTAGAATTAATATTAAAATTAGAGTATAAAAAAATTATAATAAAATTTTTTTTCATTTATGAACTCTCTCCTATAGATCACTCAACCAAAATTCAGAGGAAGCAAAAACATAAAATAACACTAAAACACACAAGTAAGCAATACATAGGGCACTAAAAGAAAAGTTAGAAAACATAGAAATACAGCTGACCAACTTAGAAATAAAAATAAATGAGAGTAGCAACAAGCAACAGTGAGAAAACCAATCTCTGACGAACTTTAATAAGCAAAATTAGCATATAGAAGTAGAACAAAATAGATTAGATAAACCTACACAAAGCTATTAAAGAAAGGTTTGGCATAAAGAAATACAAGCTTTCTATCAATACATCAATATAGATATAGCTTTTTTTAACAACATATGCTCCGATTTTTGGAATTGGGCCTTTTTTTAGAACTCTAAATTATATATCAGCTAATTAATTTGTATTCCAAAATCAGTTATTAGCTAATTATTTTTTATTTTAAACGATTTACAAAACAAAAATTTTCTATATTAAAGGCATGTCAAACCAATTGCCCGACCTCAAAACTAATTGCTTTTTTTTGGGATTAAGCCAAGTAAGAATAAACTTTATACAATATTATATATAATATTCTAAAACTAATTTATTTTTTAATATACAGTAGATTTAACATGACTAATAATTCGTGTTCACACTCATATATTTTTATTAAACCAAAAGTTTTAATTACTAACTATACTTTACAAGAGTTTAAGTGTGAAATTTGTGGAATAAAATATAAGACAAAAAGAGGTCTTAATCATTACCAAAGTATTGTACGAAAGT